AATTTTTTATACCATTATGGTATGCTTGACCTAGCCTATAAAGAGATTTTTAAAGACAAAAAACTTGTTGTTCCCCATGTTTATCAAAACCCTAAGGAATTTTCTTATACACTTCCTCTTCGAGATCACCATGAAATGGGTGTAATTGTCTCATAAAAATCAATTCCCTCTAGCTGAATGTATCCTTTTAACATTAGACGGGTATTTTATCTCTCCATAGAGCCATTTGAGTTAAATTTAACCTCCCATTTAGAGTCACCGGCTCATTTCTCAATTGGTAAGCGAACTAAAGTTCAAGTATGATTTGCTTCTAAGGAAGAAATTTCTTTGTCCATGGCATCTTGTCATTGAGCATGTTGAACTATATTAGAAAAGGATGTAAGCTCATCTAAGGAAAAGATGGTCGCTAAAAATGCATGATGAGTTATAGAAAAATTAGAATAAGAAATAGTATAAGATAAAGGATATACCATCGAATTAGTCGATTGGTGCAAAGAATGCAAAGTGGAGGAAAGCGGGAGACAAAATGGCAAAATATAATAAAAACTTGAGAAATGCTTGGACAATATACGGACACGAGGAGGTGGGTGATCTAGAGAGGGAGACAAAAATCCATTAGAATCTAGAGGTTCCATGGGACTCGAAGAATGCTCGTGAGAAGGCAAATTAGAAGCTCTATCATAAGTGAGGCTGTGTGGTAATAAATTCCATTGAATGGGGCATGTTGTGTAGAAATAACGACTTAGTGTGGCATTTCGCAGGTGATGGACTTGTGTGTATTGCAAGACTCATGTGACAAGCAGGCTGCCATGGTAAGTCGATCAACTGGACACAACCTACTATGTAATAACCCGAATTTAAATAATAAAAAAAGAAGTCTGGTATAATAGGAGCGATGAATCGCTCTCTCTTTTCGATTTTTCTCCTCTTTTCTCTCCCTCTCTCACGTATTTCTCTCCTAAAACTCCTCCTCATTTTCACTTCAATTCCTAAGCTAATTCATTATTAAATTCAATTCTTAAGCTAATTCATTGTTAAATTAGGTTAAGGAAAACATAAATTAGTTGATTTAAGTGGAGTATAGCTAGCTTGGAGCTTGGGAAGCTTGGAGAGTTATGAAGGATTTGGGATTTGAAGAGCATAATGTAAAGGTAAGATTTTTGATCCATTAATCTTAAATTGTGAATTTTATGTGTAGTTAATGATGATATTAAGTTGGAGTAGCTTTAGATTGTGATTTGCTTAAGGAATTGCTTAGATTAAGGTTGGGGTTTTAAGATCCATTTGAGAAAAAATAATTCTAAGTGATTATAATGACTTGAATGATACTTAATTATGTTGGGCAAGTGAAATAAGAAGTTAATTTGAGTGGAATCAAGTGAATTTAAGAAATTAAGAGGTTAAAGATGATGAATAGTGATGAATTCAAATTTAACTTTTAATTGGAAAGAATTTTAAGGAAAATGAGGAATTAAGTTATAAAAATATAATTAAAGATGGATGAAGTGATTATTGGATGAATTAGAATAGAATTGATCATTTAATCAAATTAAGGATTGATTTATTACGAGTTGATTGTTTAAGAAATGAGTTAAAGATTGGCAATGGAATGTGATTAGATGATTAATTAGAATCAATTGAGGGATCATAGGATGTAGTTAGGACCATCGAATTGAGCCCTTGTAATCAATTTTATTTTTGTTTGATAATCTTGTATTTTAATTCTAGAATAATTCATTATTTGGATTATTCCTTGGTGTATGGTATTGATAGATGATCCATCATTTTACGATGCTAGATTCTTCGGAGCGAACAACTCCATCCCGACCATCTTGATTTTTGCTCGGTTCTTCAATTGTACTATGAGTGGATATTATATAATGTATTGTGTTTTAATTCCTTAAAATTATGTCTATTATGCATCATTGGATTATGAATGTTTTAAAAGCATTCTCTTATAACCTAAATGGGAATAGACATCATAAAATTTGAAATGATTTCGTATTCAAATGATTTTATTTGAATTAGAAGGAGATTTGATATGGATTTTGGATTTGAATAAATATGATATGTTCGTTATTTTTAATATACGTGTAATTTATGAAAATACATACATGGTATTTGAAATATCGATTTGAAAAATATATAAGTATGTTTGATTTTTGAAAATGTTTTCGAAACCTTAGAGAACCTAGCTACCGGGGAGTAGCCTTTAAGCTTAATGATAAGAGGCTCCATCTAGTAGAAAAGGTGTAATACTACATGGTGTGTCGGTTAACATACGAAAACCTAGTCACGAGGGATGTGACCTTTGGGTGTTCACACCCAATGATACGTTATTACCCCACGAGTGTATAAAACCTATATATTTGTTTTTGTATGAGTATGATATATGTATGAATAAATTCTTTGATGATTTGATATAAAATAGTTTTGAATCATTTGATTTGTGATATAAGATGTATTTTTAATATGCATATGCTTTGAGAAATAAGCATTGCATTTTGACATGGATTTAAGAACATCATCCATAGTTTGTTTTCCTCCTTTAATATATTATCTAATGTCTACTCCTTGAGCTATTGATTGGTTACCTCTCATTATTTCGGTCTTGTAGAATATTGAGGGATTGTCCATTGCTTCTTTTTGGTTGCTTGATCCGAAGTCGACACTTTGGTCGTATGACTCACTTTAATTATAATTCCTTAGAGCCTATGTATGTTTCGATTTGTTTTCTCTTAGATACTCTACGATTATAGGCTGTAGGTAATGTATTAAGAGTTGGTTATGAATATTGATTATGGATATTAAAATATGAATTATAGTGAGGTTGTAAAAGAAATGTTTATTAAGTTGTGATAATGTTGATTGGAATGATAATTTGAGTAACATTGATTTGAGGACTATAATATAAGTCCGATCATGATTTAAGGTTTAGTTTAGTATCCGAGGCTTGCTTAGGTAGAGGTGGGCCTCATAATCCCCTCGATCCTCCCATTGATCATGGCCCATTCTTAGGGTCGCGACATGCTACTCGTAGGCTTGTCAAAAAAGATAAAAGAGCTAGGTAGAGAGGCAATAACTAGACCCCATGTTCGGAATTAGAGCTCAATATCTACGACCTACTCAAGAAAGGAAAGTATAGCACTGTTGTGCATCTAGGCCTTGCATCATGTCTATAGCATACGGTTTAGTAAGCATGTCCCAATCTTGGTGGACTAGCCCAATAGATGTGAGTGGAGCAACCCGTGTTTGAGGAAATAATTTGCCCCTATTTGTAACTCGCTAAAAGATAGGCATAATTGATGGAAGAATTGAAGGAAAAAATATCTTCAAAAAATTCCACTTGACGAGAGGTATATATTTGGGGTCGTCCAAATCCAATATTTTGTACCCTTTCGACCATGAGAATAGCCCAAAAAAATCGAGTTTACAACAAGGGATAAATTTATCTCGGGCCTTAGTATGAATGTGTCCATGCCAAAGACATCCAAAGTGGTATAGATGATCATAACTAGAGACTTGATTAAATAAAAGTTATTAAGGTGTCTTATGGAGTAAAATAGAAAGTGACATACGATTGATGAGATAGGTCTGCGGTCGGGATACACTTCCTCCAAAAATGAATCCGTAAATGGGCCCGAAAACGCAAAGCTCTAGCCACCTCTAAAAAATGTCGATATTTGCGTTTCACCCACACCATTTATTGAAGAGTACTTGCATAAGTGGTATGCCCGATCATCCCATGATCAAAACAACAATGCATCAATTCGGCGTGGTTAAATTTAAAACCATTATCGGTATGAAAAGTCTTAATTTTGGTATGGAACCGTGTTTGTACCCAATTAAAAAATAGCATAAGGTAATGTTTGATTTCGGACTTGTGTTTTATGAGAAAAACCCATGTGATCGAATTGCGATCATCAACAATTTTAAGAAAATAATGTGACTCGAATGAGATGAAGTGTGGTACGGTCCCTAAATGTCATAATGCATTAACTCAAAATTATTAAGTGATTTATTAGTGCTGGTAGGAAAAGATAGCCTAGTCTACTTTGCTCGATAGCATGCATCACAATAAAAATTCTTTGAAAAATCAACTACAATAGATAAGTTCAAAACTAACGATACACGATTCATTGATACGTGTTCCAAACGATGATGCCATAAGTTTGACCCTATAAACTTTTTTGCCACAAGTGTATTCCCTTCCTCCGTTAGTTCAAGATAATATAACTCATATCGCATTCTACCCAATCCAATCAAGTTCCTCGAGAGTAAAGCTTGTATCACACAAAATTCATATTCAAATATTAGAACACAATCGAGATTCGTAGTTAATTTATTAACAAAGATCAAATTGAAACAAAATTGAGATACCCCAAAACATGTTTGAGTGTTAATTGATGGCCAAGTTGGACTCTGCCCAAAGCTTGAACTGAAATGCAATCTTCTTTAAGAATTTGAATCGGTGGAATAAGTATTCATCAGTCATAAAATCAAAATTACATGTTATCCGTATCAATTATCCATGAGTTTGCCTTACTGGAAGGATTATTAGAAACCACGTTTGCAGATGGACGGACTAGTAGAGCAGCTGGAGTGACAACCCAAAAATTTAGTAATTTGCTGGACTTGCTCAGCAGTAAGGTTGGACAGCAAACATTGGGCCAAGTTCTGTTGGGGCGGCCCAAGTGACTCTGGAGCAGGAGACGCTGTAGTATGAACTGGAGACAGTCCATGAGAGCCCATTTTTCATGCCATTTGGGCTGAAAGCCTGAAAATGTGGGCTGCTGTTTATGACTAGAATGGCAAGATCCGTGGGCTGCCGTTGGAGAGGAACCTATTAAAGCATAGCAGGTTTCCTTGGTGTGATTGTCACAGTTGCAATTGTCACAATGTAGCCGTCTACCTTCTTTTTATTGTTGGAAAATGATGTTTCGGCCAAAAATGTCACAATTTAGCCGTCTACCTTCTTTTTGTTATTGCAAAGGCGCAATATGTCGTTATTTTTCATCTTGGGCAGCCACATCATAAACCTTATCAAGCCCAGGTCCAGGTAAAAGCTCTATATTCAAAATTGGGATCCAACATTAATATTATATATTCCTAATACACTAAAACCAATCGGGGGTTTTGAACAGTGGCAACACTGTTCACCTCATCATAAAATACTATTCATTTATGGTATTTTTTTTAATATAATTTTATTTTGGTGCCTAAATTTTAATCTCTTAATGATGCACTACATGTTTTTTTTTCTTTGGTTTTTTCTTTTGTTTTTTTCTTCAATTTATGTTTTTTATTTATTTAATTAGATGTTACCCTCATAATATACTATTCACTCTTACATTTTTTTTTTGGTAATTTTTAAATGATTTTGTTTTGGTCCTCAAAATTTTAATGCCTAGCTCATGCACTACGTGCCTTTTCTTTTCTTTTTTTCTTTGGTTTTTTTTCTTTTGCTTTTTTCATCAATTTATGTTCTTTTTTGTTATTTAATTGGGTTTTAAAAAATTTTAAAAATCAATCGTTACTTTTTTCTACACAAACAAACGATTATATAATATATACGATATGTTTCTATATTTTAAAATAAATATATACTACTTTTATTGTTTAAAATATATCTTTTCGATTTATTATAAAAATTCTCATTAAGTTAATTTTTATTCTTATTTTTAATATAATTTTATTTATTAATAAATATGATTTATTTTATCTATGTATGGATTCAAATAAGTTTTTTTTTATATCAGTTTTTATTTACTTAATTCTTATATAATCAAATTTTCAAAATAGAATATATGCATTTTATTTTCTTATTCTTTATATAATCAAATTTTATTGAAATCAATTTTACAGCTTTTATCGCACTCTATTAACTTTAATAAATATTTTATAATTTATTTTTTAAAAAAATATTTCTCTATTTATGCTATACATTCTTATTCACTAAGTGCGATCATGATGTAGAAAAAAATAATAATATTAGAGTCATTGATTTTATTAGAAATCAACTATACATCTACGTATACAATACCAACTATTTGTCATTATTTTTTTATATTTTAAAATTAATTTTTTAAATAAAATAATTGAAATAAATTTTAGAATAATGACCTAATAATTCAAATACAATTTTGCGTACTAATATTATTCATTATTTTGTCAATAAATATATATAAATCAAATATACATATTTAAAAAATAATCTTTTCATTAATAAAAAAGCTTCATTTGTTAATTTTATAAAAGTTTTTTTTATTAATTATTGCTTTATTTCTTCAATGTAATGTTATCAAAAAAAATATAAGAATTTTTTTAAAAAAAATTATATTAAATTTTGTTTATTATGGGTTTTTATTTAGGAACAAATGCATAAGAAAGAAAAAAATCATTTTTTTTACTTCAAAATTAATTCAAAACATAAAAAAATATATAGATAAAATTTTGGTTAAAAGTTATAAAATTAGATGAGATTTTATTTTTTATATTTAATTTAATATATTTTATTTAACTAAAATAAATATGTTTTGTTTGGTCCACAAGAATCCAAACTATTCAAATGCCTAAAATTCCTATTCGCTTCCCCATTTATATGCATAAAATTACTATTCACTTGATGGTAATTTAAGTAATTTTTGTATATGATTTTTTTGTGTGTTTTTGGGCATTAATATGCAAATTTAACACTTTTTTCTATTTTTGTCCCTCATATTGTAACATTGTTTTTCAATCCTTAGCTTTCTTTTTTTAAAAAAAAAAAATTAACATATACTTCAGAGTTATATTATTTTTATTATTTAAATTTCATTCTTTAAATTTATCATTTTTTACAAAAATTCTCATCCAATTAATATTTTTATATATAATTTATTTTACTCTATGTTTGAATTTTAAAACAAAATTTTAAAACATGATTTTTAAAAAAACAATAAATCCGTATAATATATATCATTAATTCTTAGAATTTTTAAATGATAATTGCGTAAAAGGTTTTAAAAAAATTTATTAAAAATTAACTATACATCTTCTAACATAATACAAATTATTTACTATGAATTTTTTTTAACATTATAGAACCAATTTAATTAAAATAAAATAATTAAAATAATTTTTTAAAGGAAACAACCAATTATTCAAATACTATTTTTTATGCTAATTTTATTGATTATTTTGTAAATAAATATATATATATATATATATAGTTCAAATGCATATTCTTTAAAAAAAATATTCTCATCAACATTAAATAAGAATAAAATTTTATTTTTTCATTAGTTAATTTTCATAAAAGTCTATACATTAATTCTAACTCATATATATATATATTCTTTTAAAAAAATATTTTTTAAAATTATTTTCTTTTGAATTCTTAATTAATATTTCAGATTTAAATTATTACAAGTTTTTATTTACAAATCCCTAAAAAAGAAGAATAAATCATGTCTTTTTAAGCGAAATGTTATGAAAAACACAAAAGAATAGCAATAATTAAATAAAAAAAATTAATGAAAAAATTATAAAATTTTGAAATGATTTTATTCTATCTACCCGTAGCTTTGTGTGGATAATTTTAAAAAATTAATCTTCTCATCGGAATTAAATAAGAATTTTTTTTTCATTTGTTAGTTTTTATAAAAGTCTATCCATTAATTATAACTTTATTTTTTGGAATACAATATTATGAAAAATATATTTTAAAATTTTTTTAATTCTCGATTAATATTTTAATTAAAATCAATTCATAAAGAAGAATGATTTATTTTTTAAAAAAGCAAAAAATCTATAACAAAAATTATAAAAAATTAATTGAATAAAAAATTATAATTTTAAAATTTTAAATCATTTTTGTCTACTAGAGTATCAGCGTAACATGAGTAATCGGCTAGGATCATCTAAACCCATTAGAAAATCAAATATCTTTGCTTCCTCGCACATCTCGTCTAATTTTCTGAACGAGTCAGAGATTTTGCAACTCAGTCTAGATCCTCTTTAGTTTTCCATAGTATGCAGAGAGGGCTAATCTTTCCTACTATATAATGCAATTGAACTTTCAGTGCAATTCCTTGAGTGAATCTCTCTTCAAATTCATATCATATTTCAATCACAGTGCTAGCATGAGTTACACTTAATTGTATTTTTGGAAATTGAATTGATGGACCATGACTTCACTGTAGCATTACATAGAATCAATGATTGAAAATCCTTGGAATTAATATGGAGTTTGGTCAACGTGTCATCCCTGTTTGATTTTTGGATTAAAGTGCATCAAGAAAGGTACTTTGCTAGGTAAAATAATTTTCTTCATTCTCACTCAAGGATTATATAACAAAAATCAAACCTAAATAGCGTGAGGAATGCAAATAAAATGGTGATTTGAAATCAATTGCGTTATTAAACATAGTCGTAATAGACACCAAACTACCTTTATCACTAGTTGCAAAATCAGTCGCCATGATTGTAGGGAAAAAATTTACAAACGAGGCTCTAATAATATGAAGAAAATATCAGTGTATTATTACAGAGAAAAAAAAAAAAGATTTATACAACTATTTAGGCTAACTAAAGCTTTGTTTGTTTGACGAAAAATAATTTTTATAGAAAAATCAATTTTGGGGAAGCTATTTTTCAGAAAAATATTTTTCAAAAAAATATTTTCCGACGTTTGACAATTACATGAAAAACTACTGAAAAATATATTCTAGTGTTTGTTTAATACAAAAAACTGAAATAAAAAACATTTTTTTTAAATTGAACCAATAATTTAGTCTAAAAAATAGTTTTACAAACTATTAATTATCATTTGTAGATAATTATTTATTTGATTTAAAAAGATTAATGTTGAAATAATTTATAACCAATTATTGACTACAATTACTAACAAAATTTTACAACTCGATTAAATTAATCATAAATTATTGATTTAGTTACAAATAAATAGTGTTAAAAAATAATGTATCTATTAATGAATTAATTAGTTTTAAAATTTTCAAAAATTATTAATAATAATTGATAAGAAATAATTAAAAATTAATTTGATATATTTTATATAAAAAGGAGATAAAAAAAATTGTTAAAATATATCGAGAGAGAAGTGAGTAACGCGAGAACGAGACGACTTGTGAGGGAGAAGAAAAATGTTTTTCTCTTTTTTAACTCGAAAAACACTTTCTAAAAAATACTTTATCATTTTCTATTAAATAAAAATCATTTTTCATTGACTTTTTTCTTAAACGTAAAAAAAATATCAAAAAATGAGAGAACATGAGGAAAACAAATTCCATGAACTTATTTTTCCCCAAACAAACATAGCCTAAGTCACCTATTTTCTATAATAAAGCTATAAAATTTGGAAATATCTATGTATATAAGGATTGTGTTTAATGTAAAACATTCTATAATAATGATAAATATTTGGTATTAGTGAGAAGATATTTGAGGACCATTGCCGTTATTAATTCAAGACTCCAAAATTTTCAAAGTAATTCATAACTTTCCTAACGATTTAGTCCGCCACTGTCTCACTTTGGGCAGCAATCTTATAACGTCATCCAACTTCCACCGTAGATAAATCATGACATGGACTTGAAGATTTCAACAAGCAAAGATCCCAAAATCCCATTCCGTCAATTTGATTTGGGCTAGGAATTTCAGACCAAGATCTATACTATATTTTCTCTTTACCACAACAGTAAGCCCAAATTGTTGGACCCCAATTTAAGACCAAGATATACAAAAGTAACGAATCTCAAAACCCACAACAAACTTTTTCCTTTTTCAGGAAAACTGAAAACACCCATTAATAAAGTATTTCAAATCCGTATTTTTTATAATTTATAATTTGTGAAAAAAAAAATCAAAATCCAAATCACAGTCTGTAAGCTCAAAATCTATCATTAATCTAAAGAGGAAGAGATATCATTACAGTTTCTGCATCTTAAACGGCAACGTATTCAGTTTTAATGCTAATTATTCAGCGCTCTAAGAAGTAAAACCTCTGCAGTCAAATTCCACCATTGGGTTTTTTAGGGGTCGGGTTGAGCTAAAACAGTGTCATTTTGGGTATCGAAGCTGTGTCGTGGCCCAATTGCTTGACAGATCTTTGGGTCATGGGCCTAAGAAGCATAGGTATGGGTTGGCCTCAGAGACGAATCCTTTCAGAGACGGTGAGGGCACTGGGCAGCAGCGCCCCTAGGATTTCAATTTTTTTCAATAATATATGCATTAAAGTTCTAATATTTTTTAAATATTCAATTTAGTGCTTGCACATCTTAAAATTTGCTTGCAATTGGATACTTGATTTCAATTTGTTTTTTCCTTTTCTTTCTAAAGCTAAAAGTCTCTTTATGCATTTGTATATGCATAGATATATAACAAACAAATTAGTTTCAACTAACAAAATACACATTTTTCTCCATTATATCAGACAATCAAAATCAGAATAAAAAATTTAACTTATTTATCTTTTTGAGTTTTGATGGAATCAAATTTATTGTCCAAAATTAATATGAATAGAATTGTATGTTAATACAAGCTTGACACTATATACTCCTAGCCATGTTGTTGTCTCTCCTAAAATCTCGTTCAGGATTCGCCATCGACTATGATAAAGGCGTGAAGAAATATTATTTCAATTTTCTCTCTTCTTTATGCTTCTACCTCTATTATCCTCTCTTAATTTTTTCTGGCAGTTTATCAAATACCTTGTGCTTTAAGTTACATCAAGCTGGCTACGGGTTACCAGCCTTATGATAGCAGTGGTAATCTTTTTACCTACAAAGATCAAACCTTTTTGTGTTTATGTAGATGGGTGTTTGTTAATTTCTTTTTTAATGTCATGCAATGGGTTCTTTTTATTGATTAGAGTTAGATTTGCTTAAATTGTAATACGTAAACTGTTGGGCTTTAACGGGGTTTTTGTAAATTCAGATTTTTTTAGGAAAAAGATGTTTTCTTTTTTAGGTTTATTCGATGATTGACTTGGAATCATTTAGGCACCAGCGAATAGCGATGAGTGATAGTAATTTTGAGTGTTAATGTAAGTTGCAAAGTTAAGGTTTTGAGCTTTAATTTGTTGAATTTAAGCGGGAAACTGTACTTTTGAAGGTGCAGTCTTTGCAAATTATGCTTTTGTCAGTGGAATTTGTTGAATTTTGGTAATGATTAGTAGGTTTCGACTGTTGTTGAATATTCTTTGATCAAATCTCTTCTGAATATATGAAAATCAGTTTCTAAATTCTTAATTTTTGGGTTTGATTTTTCATATACCTTATTATTTTTTATTTTTGTTAGATTTAGTTCAACTTATAATTATCACTCATCTCTTGATAAATTTTAATTTTTGATACTTGATTTCAAGTTTTGCACATACATTAAAAACAATACAATCGTTTTTTTCCTGCAAAAATACTAGAATTTTTCAAAATAAAAAAATATATTATTTTATTTTTTAAATATAAAAAAATTGAAAATAATCCAAAAAGATCTTAAATTTTTTTAAAAGCTTTAGATAAATCTTATTAAATAATTTTTATTTTAGAGCTATTTATATGATTGTTATTTTTAATAAAAAAAACTAAATGATGAATTAAATCTTCAAAAAAAATCAAAGCTAAAATTCAAAATTCAAAAACTGATTTTTAAAAACACTAAAATTCAAAAAAAAAAAAAATTCGACCCATTTAGTGATTTAGCTCTTTTTTTTTTCAAGTGTTTGAAATTCTTAACCTTTTGTAAATAGCTCGCTTGAAGCACTCAAAGCGTGTACTTTCTGTCTTTGGAGGTGTAGCTTTTGTCCGTATGTGTGGTAGAGAGAGAGTAAAAGAAATGCTGCAATGTGTTGATCATTGGTGTCGGGGTTTTGTTTGCTTATGAATTATGCTGAATGTCAAAATTTTGCACTTTAGAGTACACGTCTGCTTTTAGCAATTTGACGTGCAACTTGCCTATTAACTGCGCCTTTGATGAATTTGGATTTTGTTTCCTAATTTTGGTTTTTGAGTATAATGTTAGTATTTTGTTATTCAAAATTTTGTTTAAATCTGAATTTTTACCTGCTGGAGGTTCCCTTGATGTAAATTTCATCTGGAATTTATGCCATCAATGAAATAAACATAATATGGGCTTTAAGTTTTGCAAATCTTGCTAGTAATTGGTGTACAAAGTGAAGCTTAGAATTTTTTATCCAACAAGCTTGATACTGAATGGTAGAGAAAACCCAAATGCAACTTAGTGATAATGTGGTAATGGGCATCAATGAATCTCCTTCTCAAATTCCATACAACGTTCAGTGGCACAAGTGGCCAAAATTTACTACATTCTTGAATCTTTAGAAATGAGGGTATCGGCCATCATGGAATTCATATTGTCGTGATGTCTCCAGTTGCGAAATGCTTTGTACTTGCACCTTGAACGTGCTATGATTGAATAGCTTATTTACAGCCTCTTTTAAGTCATTTGTGTGCAACCAACTCTTTACTTTTGTTTTTGTAACTTCTGATCAAATTGCAATCCTGATGTCATGGGTCATTTCAGGAACTGGTGATGATCTTCCTCCATCACATCAAAAGAGAATCCCCAGAGGAGGTCGTGTGGCGGAGAATGGAAGACCAGTTGGAGGTTCAGTCCCTTATCCTAGAATGTATATATCGTAGAACTGATATGGAGAACGCTCAAATTCACCAACTTAAGCAAGAAGCATAGCTGATGCCATTGCTTGGGTACTTGTTGTCATATTATTTTTTTGAATTCTAATAAATTTAAATTTGTTTAGTCAGGTTTAAGTAACTGCGAATTGAAATGTATTTTCTTCAGGAGAAAGGAAAGCTTGATAACAGAGCTTAGAAAGGAGTTGAGATTGTCTAATGAGGAGCAAAAAGAGCTTCTTTCTGGGGTTAACGCAGATGATGCAATACGGAGGATAAGGAATGATTGGATGATCAAGCAATTTTTTCTTTAGTTAGATCGGAGCATTTTTTTATTATTATTAGAGTAGTTCAGACTTTAGTTATAAAAATGAAAATAGTTTTAACTTTATTTTTCTAAAATAAATTTAATATCTTTATTTGTTGGTGATCCAAAAAGTTCATAATCATATGTTAGCTTTTCTTGAGGAAAGTGTAAAAACAGATTATGGGGAATTGGAGAATGGTTCGTTTGCTACAAATTGAATAATTGATTGTCCCAAGGATTGTTTTAAAAAATTTGTTGATTTTTTTTTTTTTTGGAGAGAAACTATTTTATGCTTCAAATCCAGCAAAGATGCCGGATAGTCCCTTTAAATATATGTGAGCACAGAAGACAAAATGCTTCCCACGATGTGATCATCCGTATCTATGCACCCATCTTTAAAGGAACAACTGTCACATGTTTTTATCGGCAAAAATCGACAAATAATAATACATACATGAAACATGCTCTTCGGGTACCTCTTGGCTCCATGCCTTGGTGAGAAAGATAAAGGGATGGATATAAATTCTTAATTAAAAAAAAATCAAATAAGAGTCGTTATTTGATAAACGATATCGTACTAACTATATGTTTTTCCCCTCCAACAAATCAGCCTAAATGAAATTATTATATAATTAATCCCAAGGTTTAGTCCCAGTGGTTTAGCTTTGGTGTTTTGCTTCCCCTTTGAGGATTGATTCCTGCAATCACTTTTTATAATGGGGAAAAAAGGAAACATATAGTAGTTGATTGGTCTGCATATACTTCATACTTGGACCATTAAGCAAATGGTTGACACATAATTGGCAAGCTTAGATCCTTCATCCTTGTGCCCTCAATCATTCATCTGAAACTCGGTGGGTTTATTAACTACAAAGTTCCACCATTTCAGAGAAATTTCGTGCATGATGATGATCTGCTAGCTGTTCGATGTCCCAGCCTGCTGATTAAGCTATTTCAGAAAATAAAAAACCGTTTTGAAAGCAATGAAACTGTTTCGGAAAAGGGGAATGCCGAATTTTCCACCGCTATTATTGAAAGGTCTAATTTACAGCACAAAGAATTGAAGCAGGCGTTTTTATGGGACAGCAAAAAGATGGAAGCAATCAATGTGTGATGACATACAACGTGATATGAAGCTTGACATTTATGAACAAATATTAGTACCCATGCCCCAGTCTCTGCATGCAGCAAGAAGGTTTTGAAGCTCTGAATCTTGGGACTCGGGGCCTCCCAGCTTGCTCGTATCAATCAACGGCACAAGAACAGACTTATCAGAGGGAACTGTACTGATGATGTTGTCCATGTCATCTCTCATGAATCTAGGTGGCATGGCTTCAAGTTGTTGGCTTGTAACCTCCTGTATGATTGGAACTAGAAGAGCGCAATATTCAAGGTTCTCTGGTTCTAGACTCATCATATCTCAACAAAGAAATTAAACTAGTGAGTGAATGAATAAATTTGTGTGGTACTCAATTGGTAATTAAGGACCCTGTTTTTTTAGTTTTTTTTTAAAAAGAAAAAGAAGAAGATAATTCACCAACCAAACTTGAAAGCTGACGTTTGATTTTGCTATGTTTGGTAATTAATCACCATAATGTGGTGCACTAGCACGTAGTAAAGATATTTTAGCCAACGTTGCTCGACAAGAGCCACCAGTGGGATGACCAACAACCAAATAAAGAAGCGCTCAAAGGAGATATCCTGATCGATAAAAACATGGGATTCCCACCCTTCAAATGTTAAACCAAGAATATTCTTGCAAGTATCAGAAATTACTCAGATTCCATCTACCCTTCAAATGATTCTATAAATATGCATGTTTCTACTATAGAAGGACTAGAGGACACCCATCAACCCACCAACACAAGTATACAATAAGTAATTGAATCGTTTATTGTCTTTTGCCTGGTACATCATTAAAACATCAGAATAAAAAGGTGTCCGAGACCTTGCGGAGTACAATGTATCACGTTTTGACAAAGTGATGCTGACTAATACTGTTCAACTACAAGAAAAATAATCAGCTCTGTAGAGCAAGAAAATCGTTACTCTGAGAAGTATTGTTTTTATTCAAATAGTTATTCCGTGTTTGGCATTTAGATTTTCAGGCTATCGATGAATGAAACTTCAAGCTTCCGATTGTAAAAAGAATGAAAATACTCTTCCACGTTGAGGGTGTTGTATAGAGGTGGACTTCTGGAGTTGATAAGTTCTTTGGCAGGACCGACATTGAAAGATGAGTTGGGATAGCAGAAGGTAACAATGGAGAGCCTGTCCTTTGATTTGTTTACTACTGCTCTGTGGTCTGGTGCTTTGTATACCCCATTGCTTATTATCTGCATGATTTAGTGCAACTATCTACTGAGCTCATATATTAAGCAGAACAAAATTTTAAAATGACAGTGATTTATACTAGACTAGTCCTTGATTCAGCTAGCATCAAACATGTGAAATCTTTCTGATGCTGTCAAGAGAAATACGACAGATACTTACCTCAGTAATATGTCCAGTGTTTACAACAATAGCACCATCTATAGGTTCAACAAAGACCCAATGACCATCCTTTAGAACCTGCAGTCCTGGCGTGTTTCCACACTCAAGCAGGAGAGTGATCCCAGAGTTGTCAGCATGCGGAGTTATCCCCATAACTTGCTCTGGCTGAGGACAAGGTGGATAACAATTCATCCTTGTATGATATAGTCCTTCTTGATAAGCCTCGCAAAGTTCTTGACCCTCGATTTCAAGCCCCATGGCCATGAAGCTTGTTAAGCCAACTGCAACTTGCCTTATATCTTGAGAATACCTGTCTAGATATTCCCTAAATAGATGAAAAGTGAAATGCTTAACAAGGACATCAATAGAATGTAAAATTATAGCAATAGACAGCAGTACTTTGTGCTCGCTGATTAATTACAACTTAACAGCATAGTACCTGAATTTTGGAGGTTTTTCAGGCCAAAATTCATGCTTTCTTTTTGGATAGGAAGAGTTTTGAGAAAAATCATGTCATTCCAATCAAGCTTTTGTTCTTCAGAGATAACAAATGCTTGGCCATAGCCTTCAAGACATCCCGGTTTCTGTTTCCACCGTTTTTTCTCTATCAAAGGAAGTTCAAAGAATTCTTGTACTTGCTTGCTCATGTTTCTTATTAATTCATCTGAAACTCCATGGTTTATTAACTGCAATACTACACCCTTTCAGATAATTTTCTCTAAAATAAATGACGAATTCCGCATAAATAAAAGAGAAAAAGCAGAGCTACTATTCTTCAAAAAAGAAAAAAACTAACAGAGAGAGAGAAAGCAGAACTGCATATTTGGGGGACAAGCAAAAAGACAAGATCCTACCTTCTAACAATCAATCTCACCTGCTAAAAACGTTGGTCAGCATTTTTTTAATTTTAATTTTTTTTTTTTTTTTGGGTGATATCAAAATAATTAGCCAAATGAAAAATATAATTCAATGGAATAGTTAACTAGGAACGTCTCTTGAATTATCTTGACTCGAACTTTAGAAGATAGGATTCAATCATTCAACAATTAATAAGTGCGTGTGTGCTTGAAACAATCATGAAGAACAGCACAATTAAGCTATGACTTAGATCATCTGTCACCTGAAATATACCCCAGTCTTTGCATGCAGCATGTAGTTTTTTAAGCTCGATGTCTTGAGACTCTGGGTTGGCCAGCTTGCTCATATCAATCAACGGCACACGAAGACTAGAGTCATCGGAGGCAAGGCCAGTACTGGTGATCAAGCCATCCATGTCCTCTCTTAAGTATCTAGTTGGCACGGTTTCGAGATGTTGGCTTGCAAGATCCTGCACACTTGGAACTGGGAGAGACCATTCAAGATTCTCCATTGTGTACTGAACTAAGATTTGCGTCTGATGAACACAAACCGATGTCCACAAACTGACCCCCCTGGATGGTCAGCGATTTCTCGTTCTGGAAAAAAATAATAATAGTAAGTAAATGACCAAATTTCCTCTTACTATTCAGAAATATTGCAAAAGAGATTGGATGTTTCCATTTGTTATATTTGGTTCGCACTCATGTGCTGGCCCGTGATGCACTCGACCACTTGTAATTAACTAATGCCCTGCTTTCTCACAAAACTAATCTTTTTGGATGAGGGTAAGTTTGGTCACGTGGGACTTGTTCGTTAAAAGAATTTAACAATTTTTTTTTAAAAAAAAAACTGATTTTAAAATTTAAATTTATTACTTTTTCTATTTTAAAAATATTTTTTAAAATTTTTACATTTTAAAGAAAATTATTAATTGTTATCTCGTATTAACATTTTTTTGTTTTTATTTTTTAAAATATCTAATTTTTTGGATTATATTTAAATATTTTTTATAAAATAGATTTTAATTAGGTATATTTAAAATATATATATATATATTATTTAAAATTTTAATTAGACAAATAGTTTAAGACAAATATAAGTAAACAATAAACAATTTCTTTAAAATAGAAAAATAAATCTTTTTAATAATTAGTATAATGTTGTTTATGCTGATATATGATCAATTTGTATATGCACTGAAACCATCACGAATTGTAATCTAGACTCTAGCGGATGGTACTAAATGTGCTGGGAGCAAGTTCCATCACGAGATGGATGAGGTTACAGAGAGTATATAATTAAATTTTGAAACAGATTAATCAATTCGTTTTTCAAAATTCAAAAAACTAATTCATAATTTACTCGGCAATGGGATCTATTGCCCTATGGATCCCTTGTGCACCCCAAAAAAATAAAAATTAAAAAAAATATAAGCATTTAATTAATAGCGAAGTTTTTGGTCAAACAGTACTGGCCATCGAGTTTGACGACGGACGCTAGTCATTCCCAAAAAATTGAGAAATTAGAAGGCCAAAAATAAACAATTTGGACGATGGGCATGGGCGAGTATTTGAATTAGGTCCTGCCATCAATAGTTTCGTCAAATCTCTCTCTCTCTCACACACACATGTATATAAGAGATAAAATCATAGTAGGCATTGACATATTGTATAATTAGCATTCATTATGTTATAGATAATCTATTTGTTTGTGATTATTTCAATAAATTCAATCATGTTTTAGGCATTCACATGTCCTAAAGTTTGAGGATACTTATAGTTAAATTGATAAATATGATTGGCATAAACTTTTTGTCAAACACACAAAATATAAATAATCGACTCCTTGGATTCATCAACATTGTTCTTTTAACAATTTGTTTTTAATTAAAAATACAATTAATGAATTCCTTAGATGCAAGTTCATGGTTATTTAACACTGTTAAGTTTAAATAGGCCGAATGAAAAATAAAGGAAATCTATGCATGACATTGCAATTTCTACTTCCTTCACCCAAATTGAGGAAAGTTTCGTGACATGAGAAAAGTTGTTTTTTTTTTTTTTCCTTCACAAAAAGAAATAACAACCAAATTGAAAGAAAGTTTCTTCATAAATACTACACTATTTTCAGGCATTTGTCTTGAACTAGGGAAGATAATTGATTTATGAGAATGGTTTTTATAACCATTTTTTATATATAAAAAATGTCTGCGTTTAACCATTAATTGTATTAAAAATTCTCACTTCTTTTGATATTATGTATACTTTTGACTTGAAAATATTAATTTAATAAATAATAAAACATACTTACAGTAGTCATCTTGATCTAGCTTTTTTTTTTCAGAAAAAAATTAATATCATTAATCATGTAAATAGTATATAATAATTGATTATAATAAAATGGGAAAAAAAAATTTGACCACTAATATAAAAATAATTGACATTTCGAATAGTATCTTGTCTTTTCTAATTTATGGATTTTCAAATGAGTTCAGTGAGTTTTTTATTTGCAAGCTGTCCGTGATGAGAATTTTTTTTAGGTGTCTCAAACTTAGAAATCCCTTGACATCTTTATCAATGTAGAACGAGCTGCACTATTATGTTATATTCTTGGAATAAATCAATTTAAGATAATATGTTGAAATCTCTTTTAACTAACAGATCTGATAAATATATCACTTAAAATACACTCAATATTATAAATCCAAGTTTCGATGCATCATAAATCTTCAAATGAACATGTAATTGACACATCAATAACAAAAAATCTCACATGTAGAGGAGGACAACAAATCAAAATAAATCACAGATTATAAAACGTATATATCTAAATCTATAATTATTTTGACAACTAAAATAATCATATTTAAACAGATATGAAATCATTAGGAAAACAAACTAGAAAGAAAAAAAAAAGAGAGAGAGAAGGAAAGGAGGGGCCAGCGACAGCTCGAAGGCAGCGATGAAAAAAATAAAAAATAAAAATAAAAATAAAAATTCTTTGTTTTTAGTAAAAGGTCAAGCCTCTCTCTTGCTTTTTATTTTCTTTATTTTTGCTTTTCATCTGGATCTACTTTTAGCTATATCAGACGGCTGCATATTGTCCCTCTCCAACCTCAAATCAAGGTGGCAAGTCAACTAATAGCGAGGAGACCATGACCTCAGGCACATTTTCATCTTAGTCCTTTAGTAATTTACTAGATTTTTTACTTAGCCTACATTATAAATCTGATAAAATACATAAAATTATTTTTAAAAATTATTTTATTTTGATATTCTGCGTTATTTTATGCGTCTATCAAAATATATCAAATCAAAAATAAATAAAAATTCATTTAACTTACTATTCTTTATATTTTTCATAATTTTTTGATTAAAAAATATTATTTATTTATCTCTACCCACAAACTAAATTTATTTTAATAGCATAAAGAATGTCAAAACCAATAGATTCTTAGCCAAAAAATTATTTTGTAATTTTTTTAAATGTTTGTTTGCCTTAAATTTTTTTATTAAAAAATTAGAGAAAAAGGACCGAAATAAAAAAATAAAAAAAGGACCAAAGTGATCAAAATAAAACAAAAAAGAAGGTATCAAAACCAAACAAAAAATATTTATGGATTGAAAAAACAATATTAAAAAAAAAACCATAGTTTAATGTTACAAAAACTCTCCTTAAATTTTTTGATTAAAAAAAGAGAGAAAAAAGGACCAAATAAAAAAATCGAGAGAAAAAGGACTAAAGTGACCAAAATAAAACAAAAAAGATGGACTAAAACCAAACAAAAAATATTTATGAATTGAAAAATAATATTTAAAAAGAGGGATCAAAGTGTAATGTAACGAAAACTTTCATAATAAATAATTAAAAAGTATTTGAAAACTATTAAAATGTTATTACATAGTGAAAGGAATAGTGCATATGAGTCTATGTGAATTGTATATCTAAGTGTGTGAACAAGTATTTCAAATAGTAAATGAATAGTAAACCATCATTTTACTTTAGTTTTATTGATAATTAGTGTGGTTGCCCCCTAACAAAATTTTAACATAGCGTAGCAGATGTGTTTATATTTTATTGCAATAATTTTTTTATTGAACATAATTGTTATCTAATGCGAATTCTCTTTTATCTATTGTTATCTTTTATTTGGTATTATAACATTTATGAATATTATTACACGTCGAAATTTAACATAGTATAAAAATTTTAATTATTGACTAAAAAGCATATGTAGGTTGAGCTTTAAAATAGGTGAAAAGTTTTAATTGTGCACAAAGAAAAATAAATAAACTGATTGGTAAGTACAAAAATTTTAATTATTAACTAAAATACATAGATATATTTGTTTCTAACATAAAAACATATAAATAGATAGCACTTTCCAGCCCAAATTTTTCTTTCTTATTTTTTTTCTTCTTCCTTTTTTTCGAGGTTGGACTAGGTCGAGATTAGCCCACTCTAGCCACACATGGGTTGGGCTAAGCCCAACCCCTTACAATTTTAGCTAGACTCAAGCGCACAAACACCAACTAAACCTCCTTTTTTCTTTTGGATCAAACCTTCTTTCTTTTTTGCTTCTTCCTCTCACTCGATTCTCTCTCTCTCTTCTCCTTCTCTCTTGTTCTTCTTCCTCTCTCTGTCTAGTTCTTCAAAAGAAATGAACTAGAGACTTTTTGAGAAGATGAGATGAGGTAGACGGAAGGAGGAGAAGAAAAAGGAAGATAACGAGAGAGTGAGGGATGGAAAGAGACAGAGAGAGATCAAACCGGAGACAAACTAGAGTTCATCTCTAGTTCGCTCTCTCTCCTCTAATCCTTCTTCAACCTTTCACTCTTTCTATTGATTCTCCTTCAAAATTAAAAACTCCTTATTCAATCCTTTACCCAAAATTTCTCAAAATTGATTGAACCTTAGGTTTCAATTTTTTTTCCCAATTAGCCTTAATTGTCTTGTATTTCTCTTAAGATCAAGCCAATTCAAGCCTCTTACACCCAATTCCTTGAAAACCCATAAATTTTATTACCGCTAAAAAAATTCGAAACCTTAGTTTTCAATCTAGCTTCATTTAGCCTAAATTTGGGGTTTAATCCTTAAATTGACAATCCAAATACCTTTAATTAGCCTTTCTTTCAATCATTCAAACTCAAAAATCCTCAAATTTCAAAACTTAAAACTGCATCGAAACCCTAAATACAAAGAAAAATTACATTGACATGATCAGTTTACTTAAAAGAATTCGAATTAAAGATGACGGTGAGAGGTACTATTACTCCAATTAAATAGGTAAATCATTTTCTTCCTTTTGTGTTTTTTTTTTTCTAGTTTCAGTTTCTTTTTTTTTTTTCGATTGTTGTTTTTTTTTTTCAATTTTTTTAAGAAAACCTCCTCTTCCTTATTTATTATTGTTTTTATACAATTGTCAAATTATTGGTTCCCCATCGATAGGAATGGCAATGGGGCGGAGCGAGGCGGGGCGGGGACGGGGATCACCATCCCCACCCCACCCCG